TTGCCAGATTTACTGTCACTAACCTATAAAGAACAACAAACCTCCTTGCTTGGATCAGTAGAGTCAAAGTCATTATACTGATGAAGGTCACTGTTGTGACCGAAACACAACTACCATCAAAGCTTCATCGAGAGCAGAAAAGCTGGCATTAATCATAGGTATTACATATCAAATTGCTGGACAGTCCCTGAGGGTCAATCTGCATTTCTATTTACTACACAATCAATGCTACCGATTCAATATATTGCACATTTTAAATACCTTATGAGAAAAAGCTCAGTTATCTTTGTCCACGTAAAAGAAGACTGCTTGATATGCTACTTCCGGAAGTACCCAGTATAATGCCATATAAAAAAAAGGCAAACAAAAGTATCTAAATTTCTATTATGAGCATATATACTAAGTGACATATAAATCCGAACACCCAGTTTAAATGGTTTTATTTTAATCAAATTTTGTATAAGTACTTAATGAAGCATAATAAGTAAATGATAAAAATTTCAAAATGATTGCACTGCTTTAAAGCCCTTTGACCTTTAATAATGTGTGGATGCACCCTGATGTGCTACGCATTCTCCAACGCGCCTAGGCATGCTTCTGATCAGGTGGTCAATGTCCTCCTGTGGTATCTCATTCCAGGCAACCACCAACTCCTCTCGAAGTGCTTCTAGAGTCTGAGGAGGACGTTGCAAATTGAGCAATCTCCTACCCATCATATCCCACACGTGCTCAATTTGGGATAAGTCGGGAGATCTTGGTGGCCATGGTAACAATGTGACATCATTATGTTGAAAGAAGTCTATTGTGACTCTTGCAACATGTGGTCGGGCATTATCTTGTTGGAAAGTTGGATCTGCCAGGGTGTCAATATAGGGTAAAAGATGGGGTTCTAGAACCTCGTGGATATAACGCTGCGCGTTCATGTTACCTCTGATGAAGATTAAAGGTGACCTGGAACCATAAGCTATAGCACCCCAAACCATAACTCCAACAGTGTGATGAACATGTCTTTCAACAAAAAACTGTGGATTCCTCCTTTCACCACGTCGCCTTCTAATCCTGGCACGACCATCGTGCATGCCTAAACAAAATCGAGACTCGTCACTAAAGACAATACTATTCCATTCCTGATCCCAGAGTGACCGTTGTCTGCACCACTCAAGGCAATTACGTCGGTGTAAGGGTTAGAAGGCGACGTGGTGAAAGGAGGAATCCGCAGTTTTTTGTTGAAAGACATGTTCATCACACTGTTGGAGTTATGGTTTGGGGTGCTATAGCTTATGGTTCCAGGTCACCTTTAATCTTCATCAGAGGTAACATGAACGCGCAGCGTTATATCCACGAAGTTCTAGAACCCCATCTTTTACCCTATCTTGACACCCTGGCAAATCCAACTTTCCAACAAGATAATGCCCGACCACATGCTGCAAGAGTCACAATAGACTTCTTTCAACATAATGATGTCACATTGTTACCATGGCCACCAAGATCTCCCGACTTATCCCCAATTGAGCACGTTTGGGATATGATGGGTAGGAGATTGCTCAATTTGCAAGGTCCTCCTCAGACTCTAGAAGCACTTCGAGAGGAGTTGGTGGTTGCCTGGAATGAGATACCACAGGAGGACATTGACCACCTGATCAGAAGCATGCCTAGGCGCGTTGGAGAATGCGTAGCACATCAGGGTGCATCCACACATTATTAAAGGTCAAAGGGCTTTAAAGCAGTGCAATCATTTTGAAATTTTTATCATTTACTTATTATGCTTCATTAAGTACTTATAAAAAATTTTATTAAAATAAAACCATTTTTTAAACTGGGTGTTCGGATTTATATGTCACTTAGTATACAAGCGAATACGTAGTTTCAGCGCCATTTATAAGGGACTAACCTTTTCAAAATTTATACAGTTAATAGGAAAACAGCTGAGATAAGTTCTCATAGATGACGTTGCGGTGTCTCATTTTATCTCGGATATTCTTTTGGGCGCGGGAATATAGTCTTAAGTTGGATATCTTCAGGTAGAATACGATAATCAATCGTTAACACACCGCCGTACGCCACTGCTAACGTGGTGTGTAAGTACGCGCGAATCTCACCGTGCAGAACGAGAGCAGTTGGATCAGGAGTGTACGATGCGTCGTGTTACTTACAGTTGAGTACTTGATCACTGTTTCTAGGTTAGGTTAGGGTTAGGTTTCTTATGAGTGCATCAATAACGATCCTCCACTGCGACACTTTGGCCTATTGTGACTCACACCTATTTATATTTCCCCCATTAGCTCCAACCTCCTAGGGAAGTCGATTAACTTGTTTGGAGAAATATCCTCCAGGTCTTCTGCTTGGAGTACTACGTCTCCAAGTGTGTTGTACCTGATTCTGGCAATTGCAGGGCATCTGCACAATACATGCCTGACCGTTTCATCTCCCTCCAAGCACAGTCTGCAATCAGCGCCTTCCGCCGTAGTAAAGAGTCTGTTACCTTTCTTCTCAAGATTGGTATAGTTACCTTAGCATGGGTTAACCCTGCTAATCCTTCCCAGTATTGATGGATCTTTCTGTCCATCTCTGCGGAGATTATTTGTTTAGTCGTATCGTATGCGATCCCAATCGCTGGCTCAGGCCCTATGAAGGGTGTGCTAGCTCCACTCCTTGCCAGAGTGTCAGCTGTCTCGTTTCCCTCTAGACCTGTGTGTCCTGGTATCCGTATGAGACGGACTTCATTTCCCTCCCCTATGCCACCGAGAACTTCTTTTCAGTTCCACACTAATTTCGATGTCGATTAGGTGGAGTCAAGTGCTTTAAGTGGGGCTTGACCATCTGAAGAAATAATTATAGTTCTGTGTCTCAGCTGCCGTTCTGCGATCATTCTGGCACCCAGTTCTATAGCATATAGCTCTGCCTGGAAGATCGATGCCCAGCTTCCTAGGCTTTTTAATCTTTAGCTTCGGCACGAAGGTACCAGCTCCAACACCTATCTTTCTTATTTCCAATCATTCCTGTTTCGCAATTATCTTTGGCCATTTTGATTCTCCTAGATATTGAAAAGTTTGAACTTTCAATATTCACCACGTACATGTTTTTATATCATAGCAGCCTTCTGCCGTCGGACTTTCGATTTATTTGTACCAATGAAAATTTTTACAAGATGGACCAATATATGTATGTATGTATGTATGTATGTATGTATGTATGTAGCTCTACATGCCTACAACATTTTATACTTCTATCAACGATAAACAGGAAGTTTAAAGTTTCTCTAATTATATACGGCCACGGCATTAGTATTTTGAATGCACATTTACATTAGTAGGTTTTGTTTCTGTAATGAGGAAAACTTGACCAAAGCCATCATAAGAAAGCTTGTAACCAGGTTCAGTAAGGCAAAGTACCTAGTCAGATTTCAGGCCTAAAACATCCTTTTGTGAAAAGTGTAGAGGTTTGGGGACCTATAAATATATATGTTTACAAATCATTATACTAGATATACTACTATAGTAGTACAGATTAAACAACTTGACAACAGCAGAGCTGGAAAGCAGGAAACGCCATAAGTCAGGATAAGAATTTGACTTTTTGCATAGATGCGGGTTTTCCTATATACCCACTCACCCCAGAGCTTTTTGGCGTTTTTACTTCCTACTCCTAATTGCGAATAATTTCTAACTTGAAATATGTTTTTGGATGTTATGACACGAAAAACTACTTAGATCATTAGTTTCCGTCGGTCTGTCTGGTAGTCCTTGAAAGTACTGCTCGGATTTGCATGACATTTTTGCACAACTACGCCAAGAACGAAAAAGCTCGTCGTTTTTTTGCCATTTCAGGGGATCCAGATCAATCTTGAAAAAGATGTCTGGGGTGGAAGACTAGGGGGTGGGGGAGATTATATCTCATTTTTCTGATTTTATATGGTATATGTATTATTTATACGCTCTCAAGCCCGGTGATTTTTCGCAACTATTAGCTATATTTCACACATCATAGGTTTCCCCGTAGATTTGCCCTTAGAGGAATGTTTTCGGTGCACGTGTACTTTTGCTTTCCGGGTTCAACCCCCGGCGTAACGGTCTTCTTGATTGTTCTGCTCTTACAACGGCGGTGCTTCAAAGAGCGCAGCCGCGTCTGACGATATGGGGAGGGGCAACGTTGGTTGGTAACTATCGATAGGACAGGGAATTGATGTCTATGGACTAATTGAATGGGCCTGTGTGACTGACTTGATCCCTTTAATTTGGCTATAGTACATGTTTGTAGCTAATTTTCTTTTCAGAAAGTTTAATTTGTGCTGAGCCCATTCCTTTATGAAGGCGTTGCGAAGGAAGTGCAGAGTCAACCTACCTGACGTCATTTTTATGTAGAAAGTGTGCGGTAGGTACAACGCTATTGAATGTTTTTTGTGACTTTTCCCTCTATAGACGATATTTAGCAAGTCCCTGATACATACCGCCTTATACTATATTTTAATTCGTATATCTTATTTAAATTAATAATAAATGACGTGTCAATCTTTTGATACAGGAAACAAACAGCATAATTAATTCGGACTGTAACTATGTTTTAAGTGGAAAATTGATTCAAAGCGATATATTGATTAGTTGAAGGGTAACCTCAAAATTATTAGCGACTTCTGAACGTCAAAATCAGATTACCGAATGCCGAGAGTGTCTCACGAACACTTTATATCACCATAGTAAGTATCTAAGATCCGAGGTATTTAGTAGCTATGAATTCGACAGGAAGTTAGCTACTTCTTCGATTTGATTATGCGAGGTCTTTTCCATTATGTGAAATACACCCCCGAGTTGAACGTTAAACGATTCACTTCTAGCAAAAAGTATAACTCTTGCAATCAAAGAAATGCCTTAACGACTACCTCCACCTTCAGCTTGTTTATCTCAACTACCTATTTGAAAAAGCAAGGCAATTTTCAAAGCTACAATCTAATTCTAGCCTCTCCAGTTTTGTGTGCCACTAAGTTCTATTTCTCCTTTATTCAGATCGTATACCAAATGTTGACACCTACCTGTGTTCAAACTAGGGACCCCAAATGGAGACGACCCCTGGAACATGGGTCCAGGCCCACCAAATGGATTAACAAGCCCCTGATGAGGCCAATTGGGATGAGCAGCTTGGTAAACAGCCGCGGCAAGTGCTGAAAATGGAGTAGGCCTAATAGGCCCTTGACTCAGGAGAGTGTCTTTCGGAAAGGTCTCTTTTTGATGTTGGAACTCACTGTCCTTAGTTGACGCATCTTCGCTTTTCTCTTCCGAGTTCAAGTCCTCCACGTCCACGATAGAATCCTCCTGATTCGAATCATATTCTTCATCGGAGGATTGATTAGGTGCGGGACTTGATGAACTCGGTGTCGGAGGTCGGACAGGCCTTGTGTCGGCCAAAAGTGAAGCCACACTAAAACTGATATGACCATTTTTGTTCGCTGTCTGCTTCTCCATGGCCTCGAGGGGTTCCAGATTTTGGACAGTCATTCTTTGGGCACTATCCGACGGTGTTTTCAGCATATGTCCACTGGGAACGCGTTCCACTAGAGTACCATCGCGTTATCAAACCCTTTCTTACCGACAGAGGCACGCGTTGCACTGACCGATCGTTTGGGAATGGTTAGTTGGCGCTGGAAACAGATGGGAGGAGCTTAGAATGGGCGTGGTCTAATGCTCCGCCCCTAGTTTAAGCGCTTTATTACACAAATCGGCCAATGAGCTTAGTGTTGTCCTTAGTTACCGGCCAGCCGCACAATGGAGTTGTGCTCGGTTTCACTTGGGTGGTCCGGTGTGAGTGTGTTGGTCGATTGTACATTCACCTTTATTTTCTTTTGTGGATTTTTGTTATTATAACTAGGAGGTTTTAGAGCGTACACTTGTTTATGGGCATTTAAAAACGGCCTCTCAAATTGTTATATCTTAATTACGATTGAAGGAGGACGGAGTAGCCTCTCTCTTTCTCAGAGGCGCGCGATATTGATGATGGGGATACAGATGCTAAAACGGATCTTATCGAAAATCTGTTATCTTATAAAATAATTTGAACAGAACAAGTAAATCACATATAAGTCCTCAAACATTGTTTGATCTTCAAAGCATAATATGTTATGTCCTTGGTGGTTCACTGCGGAAAGGTTATCCGAAAATACATTTCTCTCTCTATACAGGGTGTGATGGAAATTGGGACTTTCCTCTTCAGAGTCAACTACGTTTGTAATACCAAGGGTAATTTGCTGCAAAATGACATCGAAAACGTAAAAAGGAGATTGAAGAAAAACGCTCACTATTCATTTGGCATTTCAGGTATTACCCTGTCACAAAAACATTAGCGTGCTTACCTCTTCCTAAATTTGCAACATTTGGGTCTATCAACTGTGTTCAACCAGACAGCTTTTCCCGATATATACAAACATATGCAGCTCTGATGAAAAAAAACATCGAGGTCGACGGCGACGTTCTGAGTATCAAGTTTAACTTTCGTTGCCTTTGACCGGGATATGTCATTGTTTTCCGAAGGAAGACAGTAGCGTAACTAGATTCTAGACTTTTTGGCACCCATTTGCAAAAATGGTCCCTACGTGCACGTTTTTTTGAATAGCAACAACGGAGCTCTGCATTCTGTGTACCTCCCTCATATAGTTCACGTCGAACATGAACATCTCGTCTCTGGAGCTGGTTTATTATATCAGCTACCAGTAGATGGCTCGAGTAGTACAGTGTTAATCAAAGGATCAAAGATGGCCTAATTGCAAGACTTCGCCTCCCCACCACTAGTAGTGCCTCTGTAGTGTCCGTTTATGTTTTTTATCGACGGTCGAGAAAAATAGTAAAATGAGTAATAGTAATATTCATTTGTCTCCAATATACACAACCATTACACATAGAATTTTATAGAGGACAAATAAATGAAGAGCCCGCAGAAGGGTGGCCCTTGTGCGCGGGTAAAGGAAAACAGAAAATACTTATAAGGTACCCGGGGGTAATAAGGCCCACCAGATATTAAGGCCCAACGCTGGTTTACCCAAAGGAAAGCGCCTAAAATATTTATATCGCCATCTGTTAATAATATTTAGTATTATTGTTGCCGGAAATGAAATTTTGTTCTATGGTTATGAGCTTCATGGCTTGTTCTATGGTGTCACGTTTCGCTGTGCTGTATTTTATAAGAATTTCGACCGGTAAGTAAGCAAATTAAATTGTTTTAATAATACGTAGATTTTTCATTATGTATGCATGATAATCTATGTATCTGATAGTTTCATTTTACGTAGCGTTTCTTTTTATGTTGGGTTTGTTTGTTGTTTAATAACCTCAAAATTAATTTTATTGTGCTACAGGTTATAAGGCCCGGGCCTTATTTTCTACAATGCATTGAAAAAGGCTTGGGCTTTATTTTCTGCCGCCATGAATACCCGTATTCATTAGATTTATTTATTCTTTTACAGAAGATGGGTAAAAAAAGCAGAGGGATAAGGGCAAATTCGGATGAAGAGATGATGAGAGAGGCATTAAATTATATTAACGAGGGAAAATCTCAGAGCTGGGTGGAACAAAAATGCGGAATACCCAGACGAACACTTAGGAACCACATTAAATCACAAAGCGTGAAGAGAAAACTAGGTAGACAAACAATTTTGACCGATAATGAAGAGAATGACCTTGAGAATAAAATAATTCGGCTAGCCGATAAAGGTTTTCCGCTAACACCAAAAGCATTAAGAAGGTCTGTGTTCAGGTATGTTGAGCAAAAGAAAATTAAGCATTGTTTCAATCAGGAAACTCGTCTCGCTGGTAGGGAGTGGGTAAGGACTTTTCTGAAAAATCATCCGAGAATATCAAAACGTCGATCTCAATTCATGAATCCAGCAAGAGCCCAAAAATTAAATCGCTTTATCGTAGAAGATCATTTCAAAAAACTAGGAGACTTGTTGGAGCGCACTCAGTTAAAAAATAAAGAAGCAAAAATTTATAACATGGACGAGAAGGGTTGTCGCTTGACTCTTCACCACCAACAAAACGTTCTTGCAGCCAAAGGAACAAAACGAGTGCATGTAATTTCTCATGAACACGCCGAAAAATGCTCTCGGACATGCCATACCGCCGGTCATTCTTTTTAAGGGCAAGAGAATGAAGCCAACCTACTCAGATGGCTTACCGGCTGGCTCAAAAGTTATGATGACGCCTAAAGGGAGCATGACGATAGAAACGTTTGATAAATGGTTAGACCATTTCATTGAATACATGTCGCCTCCGCCAGTAATTTTAATTTTTGATGGGGCCAGATGCCATTTGGATATTAGCATTGCTGAGAAAGCAGAAGCTCATGAGATTCACTTATATTGTCTGCCGAGTAACACCACCCATGAGCTTCAGCCGATGGACAAAGCTATATTTCGAGCATTTGAAGCTTATTGGGACGATGAATTGTTAAAGTACTGGGATAAACATCCTACACGTGATTTAAACAGGGAAAGATTTTCTGAAGTTTTCACACCTACATGGCAGAAAGCAATCTCCATTGGAAATATTACAAGTGGCTTTCGAGCTACGGGAATATGCCCTTATGATAAGGATGTTCTTCCCATTGAAGCATTTGCCCCAAGTCTTGCAACTGAGAAACCTTACCAGGAGACGACCGCCGCTGCCGATGATTCGGAATATGCTTCAGATGACTACCTGCCTTTAGGTGAATTGCGTAAAAAATTAATCCCTTTGAATAATTCCTCCGCGGAAGTGTTACCAACACCAGATCTAGTCAAAAAAAAATCTGCTCCAAGACGTAAAAGCTATAAATTACAAAGCAGTTGAAGTCAAGCGATCCGTATTTTTTAAGGAGGTGGAGTCTCAACTTGATCCCAATCCAGTCTTATCGAATACCGCTAAATCGCCATCTGAATCTGTGTCTTCCATTGCATGAAAAACAAAAGAACATAACGAAGAATGGCACTGTGTGATTTGTTACGAAGACTATGTAGCAGATATGAGACGATGTGCTTCTTGTGGTTTTTGGGTCCATGAGGATTGTGCTGGTTTGACTGCGGACGATACTGAAAATTTTTTGTGTCCAGACTGTATGCCTTAAGTATTAGATTTATACTTAATACCATATTTTATCTTTGATACTGTTTTTTTAGTGTGTTACATTTATTTTTTATTCTATCAGTATTTTGTTGAACTGTTATTTATTTGTCTCTCATTCAAATCTCATTATATGTCGTTGCAGATATTAAGGCCCAAAGGGATATTTTTGATATTTATGTTTGGATATCATTATTTTAATATTTTCTTTTTATTTTTTGATTTTTTTGTGTTTTGTTTATTCGTTTGACTTGTTTTTTGTTCATTTAAATATGGGCCTTATTATATGCACTTGCAGGCTTTAAGTACCAGAAGACAATTTTTTTAATGTTCGCGTCTCGACATATAAGCATGATTATTTTGTGTTCAAACATTACCATTATGTTAGTTTATACCCTTTTCTATTTTTTATAATAATAAAAGTTTGAAAAAGTAAATTTATCTGGTAGATATTAATTATAATTTCTTAGGTGGGCCTTATTACCCTCGGGTACCTTATATCTACTAAATACTAACGATGACGTAACACAATAAAATCTTTTTTTTTATTCTAATTAACAAATGAGTGATGTATATGGATTTTAGTGAAATTCCATATATGTAAGTGACGTATGGATTGTACTCATAGAATATGGTATATCAGAGGAAGTGCTAACCACTAAAGAATAACCTGTGCGTGGTCATTACATCCAGCTGGACCAAAACTAAACTTAAGGTTTTTGAAATACAACACTACAGATAATTTAAAATGGGCCGCAAAGGATTAGTGACTCAACTAAACTAGCGGCTGATCTATCTATAACTATTTTTTCGGCCGCATCACAGACCGCGAAGGCTAAATAGATCTACAATAAATATAATATATGAAGGCTTAAAAAGTACTGGTTAAGAACTGGAAAATTTAATCTCAGAATGATCTACAACTCACAATGTACCTATAGCTCATGCCTTCTTTGTACATATGGATTTTAACTCTTGGGACCGCGTGTAGCCAGGTTTTTATTTGGTTTTTAAATTAGTTTGAATTATTTACTTTTTTGTAATATTGTATTGAAAATTCTTGGACAGAGAAAAATCCAGGACCTTTGTATGAGTGTTTTCTCCGGCTTTGGGACTACATTCTGAGACAGCATTTTCTGACGGGTGCCATAGCAGTGTTCAATTTGCTTGAATGAGTGACGATTTTTGTACTGAAAAGTAATGAGATTGTACTTATATAACTGTCGTCAAAAGCATTATCCTCAACAAACAACTCGTTGGAAGGATATGTCTTTCTCTTTTTGTATGTATTTTTGTTCGCATTCGAGATTTCTGAGGTGACTTCCAATGATACCATAGTTTAAATGAGACTGAACAAGTGCAATATATAATGTTTTTAATGATTTTTCAGTCAGTAATCCTGTTAGATGTTTAAATTTTGGTAACAGCATTCTAATTTTTTTCACGGTGTATTTCTATATGCTTCGTCCATTTCAAGTTTTCATCGAGGATAATACCTAAATATTTAATATCACTGGTCCGTTTGATAGTTATTGTGTTAGATTAATGTTTAGCGTGTCGTACTCTGGCAAGTGATTTTTTTAGGAAGCAAGGCGGACAAAGTTGGTTTTTGCGATATTCACGGTCAAAGGTTACTGTTATAAAATTCAGGAATAGTTTTAAGATCATCCTCAATGAGTATTTTTAGTTCTGCCCAGTTAGCACCTTCATATATAACTACCGTATCATCCGCAAATCCCAAAATTGTTCCTTTGCTGTCCAATGAAAAAAGGTCATTTATGTAAATATTGAACAGTATCGGTCCTAAAACCGTCCCTTGGGGGACGCCATATTGTACTACCCCATAATCACTTGTCAGGTCGCTGATTCTAACACACTGTTTACGTTCTGATAGATAGCTAGTCATTAGTTGTAAGGTATTTCTCCTAATACCGTCATTTTCGAGTGATTCCAACAGCTTAGCCTGACTTACCGCGTCAAATGCCTTGGCTAGGTCCACAAATAAGCATACTGTTGGAATTTTTCCTTCTATTAGTTGGTATAGTTTCTTAGTTAAAGCCGCTATAGTATCCTGTGTAGAGATGTGCTCTCTAAAACCATACTGATTGCTGTGAATGACATCGTAATTTGTAAAAAAATCGTCTTTTAAGTATCTCCTCTATAATCTTAGCAAGGGAATAAATTAAAGAAATAGGTCTGTAGTTTGTCATTTCTAGGTACATAAAACCGAGAACTGCGCACCTGAGAACAGGGACGAACTGAACGTTTATTTTAAAAGGTTTGCTTGCACGTCTGGATGAGATCAGATATGGCTAAATCAAGTTGTATTGTGTATATTGAAGAAAATAATGAGTTAAAAAAGAATGAGAAAGATCAAACATACATTAATCCTTATTTTCCAAAGGTAGGATTGAGGTAGGATAAAGATGAATTTTGTGCAGCTTATTTGATGAATGTCATGTAGGTACTTGCTGTAGCCCTTCTTAATTTTAGCACTTGTTCGATGGTTTTCCCCCAAAGCATTTCAGTGATCTGGGCAGCTTCTGATCCGGCTACGATTTAGTGATTGGTAGGATTTATGTTGTTGTTGTTCATTAATTCCTATAGTTGGTAAAGAAGACGCCACCCATGCATAGAACCGAAGATATATTCCCAATATCTCAATGAATAAATAAATTTAAGGTGTCCTGATTGCCGCCATGTACATCGTCTGGACGCACAGTTATATACTAAGTGACATATAAATCCGAATACCCAGTTTAAATGGTTTTATTTTAACAAAATTTTGTATAAGTACTTAATGAAGCATAATAAAAGTAAATGATAAAAATTTCAAAATGATTGCACTGCTTTAAAGCCCTTTGACCTTTAATAATGTGTGGATGCACCCTGATGTGCTACGCATTCTCCAACGCGCCTAGGCATGCTTCTGATCAGGTGGTCAATGTCCTCCTGTGGTATCTCATTCCAGGCAACCACCAACTCCTCTCGAAGTGCTTCTAGAGTCTGAGGAGGACGTTGCAAATTGAGCAATCTCCTACCCATCATATCCCACACGTGCTCAATTGGGGATAAGTCGGGAGATCTTGGTGGCCATGGTAACAATGTGACATCATTATGTTGAAAGAAGTCTATTGTGACCCTTGCAACATGTGGTCGGGCATTATCTTGTTGGAAAGTTGGATCTGCCAGGGTGTCAAGATAGGGTAAAAGATGGGGTTCTAGAACTTCATGGATATAACGCTGCGCGTTCATGTTACCTCTGATGAAGATTAAAGGTGACCTGGAACCATAAGCTATAGCACCCCAAACCATAACTCCAACAGTGTGATGAACATGTATTTCAACAAAAAACTGTGGATTCCTCCTTTCACGACGTCGCCTTCTAACCCTGGCACGACCATCGTGCATGCCTAAACAAAATCGAGACTCGTCACTAAAGACAATACTGTTCCATTCCTGATCCCAGAGTGACCGTTGTCTGCACCACTCAAGGCGATTACGTCGGTGTTCTCGAGTTAAAGGGAGGACCCAGTGTGGCCGGTATGAAAACAAGCCAAAACTTCTCATTCGTCGGTAAACACTTCGCATGCCAATAGGTCTTCCGTGTTCTGCAAACCATTCATTTGTAATGGACCTGGTAGTGGAGAAACGGTCCCTTAAGGCCAATAAACTTAGGCGGCGATCTTCACGGTCTGTTGTTCTACGGCGGCGTCCAGTGCCCCTTGCTCTTTGCGTACGGCCTTCTCGAAGCCATGCCTGACAACACCTAACCACAGTGTCTACACTTCTTTGCACTCTAACTGCAATTGCCCGAAAAGAAGGTCCAGCTTCCCGAAGTCCCACTATACGGCCCCTATCAAACTCACTAAGTTGACGAAATCGTACAGGTCTCCGTACTCTAGGCATCGTAACCGATCGTAAAGGATGTCAAGAACCAAAATCCGCCAACGTTGATTCTTTACTGCGGCTGAAATATTCATTTTTATAGCGTTAGTGAATTAAAAAAAAGCAGTATAAAAACCGGAATGTCCAACTGATAAGGCTGAAAAATTTTTCACTTGTTATTTACAGTAAGATAAATACATTCACCAACTTTTATTAAAATAAAACCATTTAAACTGGGTGTTCGGATTTATATGTCACTTAGTATATTATCTGAATTTGTTGCTAAACTCGTATCAAAACCATGCGAATCCCCCATGTGTGTCTGGCGAAATGAAACCACATATTATATAGAGTTTCGCGTTTTCGGAGGATTTTGGGCGTTTTCGGGGCGATGGACGAGGGTGGCGTATCTGCTACACTAAAAAATACGGAAATACCTAATTCAGAGCGGAAGTTAAAAGTGTTCTTATCAGACACGCATTATAATATGTACATATAGCGTTAATGAATTTTTAAATATGAAGCCATAATTTCTTGTGTTTAAATTGATTTTAAGTATTTTAATTCTCATTATTCTTTCTGCATGAAAAAATACCAGTTCTCAAATGGCCTTCACCGTCTCCCGATATAAACCCCATTGAAAATCTATGGGAATATCTACTCAGTTAAGCAAATACGAGATAAAAATTATTCAGACAACGATTAACTTTTTGCCGCTTTACAGCAAAAGTGGAGACTGATTGATGAATCTTATATTAAGAAACTTCTACAATCTATGCCGAGACGATGCCGGGCGGTGATTGATAATAATGGTTATGCTACAAAATATTAACACAAACATGGTTGGTTTTATATAATTCAATGAACTTTGCTTCTTTTTTTCTATAATTGGTTTGCTTTGTCTATATATTTTTGTCCTTCATAGTTCCAGTTTTTTTCAATTATTTTTTTATTGAAAGGAGTCTAATGAATTTATTTATGTATAAGTGAGTATTATGCTATACCGAATTATGTATACCTACAGGTTGGTGTATTAATAAAACGAGTTAAAAAAGAAATACAGCACCATATTAATTCGTCTATATACTTTTGTCCATTACTGTATGTACCTAATTTGATCGAAAAGCACAAGATAAGCTGCAACTATTATATTAATGCGATTTGCTATTTTCGACGTCCAAAAAATTTCCGAGATGGAATGCGATCTACGCTAATTTGTCACTGCTATTTTTCTCCCTTCCGCAATAATTAGAAATCTACTGATACCATTTTTATAATTTTAAAAAATAATTAACGTCCTCATGTCAAAACTATTCGTTACATCACAGACAATTAAATTTTGGAGTAGATAGATTAATTTGGAAATCAAGACATCTGTTACCGATTTTCTTACCACTGTATGCAAAAAAATTAGGAAGTAAGACACAATGTTCTCAGTAACAGTAAACAAAAAACACATGGAACCAGCAGTGGTCATTAATGTCATTATAGTGAAACCGAACTCGGAACTCTGAACAACTTGTGTCGTTTTTTGCAAGGATACATGGAGGCAAAGTTTATGTTACCAATCATGGGCGGATGTAGGATTTCTCTTCATAGGGATATCTATGTCTTGGCACATTTAAATGCCGTTGTGGCAGTCAATTTGGATAGAAATGTGAACAAGGTCTTTGTTACTCTACTAGGAGTGATATTTTGTTTTAGATGGGCGAGGGTTTGGGAGTGCAATGGAGGAAGAGGCAAGGAATTCGTTCATAACGGAAAAGAGGGGAAAACTACAAAAAATAACATATAGGTAGTTGATGTAGGTAAATTCAGAGGCGCATTTACTCTGGGCCAAAAAATCAAGGGCCAATAGCAAGCTACGAGGGATGGCACAAGCAAGGGCAGATCAATCCCAGCCGCCGCCATTCATGCATTCCAATGGACATTCTTGATCCTACAGGTACATTTAAATGCAATAATAAGCCTCTATAAGGTGCCACTATCAAGTGATAGTCCTAGATTTATGTGAGTATAACCATGAAAAATGCACCAAACGGTGCTTAGAAAAAAAGATAATTGAAGCTGGCTGTATTTTATGAACCATTTGGGTAGTAAAAATGAGGATGTACTTACTTCATTCCCTGGGAAGCTGTGTTAACTTCAATGTACTCAAAGCTGAATATACAGAGTGAGCTTTACTTCTGATCTGTTTTGATCATTTTGTGAATATTATCCTAGAAGCGCCACCGGTATCCGCCTATGATCCGATACCCACCACCACGTGTGGTAAATTACCCAAAATAAAAACCAACAAATTGGATGAGACGTAAAAAGTTTAGTCTTGACGTGAAAGCCTACCAAGCGAGCGTAAAATAGTAATTGGAGAAGATGGTTGTGCGAGATTTTGGCCTTAAAATTGCTGGACGTAATTTTGATTGATGGACAGCCTAATTGGTAGATATTAATTATTATCTGAAACCCAGACAATGAGCATGGAACGTAGTAGACTATACATAACGTACACGCTATTCTGGGAGGTCCAAATTTGACTTTTACCATTGGAATATTGAAATTCTAACCTTGTAAAGGGAAAAAGTGGCAATGCTAATATGAAATTTATTATCAAAAAAGTCAGAAACAAATTTCGGTTTTGTAAAATTTCTTTTTTTTTTTTGTTTGTTTTCGGAATTACTCTGAATTGTGAAACTGTCTAAACGTGATTTGCTTAGTTACCTAAATTCATAACCCACTAAGCCCGCGTATTACATGAACATTACTTTTATGTCAAAAATAGACTCTACAATTTACATGATATTACGTAAACTTGAAATATACTAAGTGACATATAAATCCGAAGGCCCAGTTTAAATGGTTTTATTTTAATAAAATTTTGTATAAGTACTTAATGAAGCATAATAAGTAAATGATAAAAATTTCAAAACGATTGCACTGCTTTAAAGCCCTTTGACCTTTAATAATGTGTGGATGCACCCTGATGTGCTACGCATTCTCCAACGCGCCTAGGCATGCTTCTGATCAGGTGGTCAATGTCCTCCTGTGGTATCTCATTCCAGGCAACCACCAACTCCTCTCGAAGTGCTTCTAGAGTCTGAGGAGGACGTTGCAAATTGAGCAATCTCCTACCCATCATATCCCACACGTGCTCAATTGGGGATAAGTCGGGAGATCTTGGTGGCCATGGTAACAATGTGACATCATTAGGTTGAAAGAAGTCTATTGTGACTCTTGCAACATGTGGTCGGGCATTATCTTGTTGGAAAGCCAGGGTGTCAAGATAGGGTAAAAGATGGGGTTCTAGAACTTCGTGGATATAACGCTGCGCGTTCATGTTACCTCTGATGAAGATTAAAGGTGACCTGGAACCATAAGCTATATCACTCCAAACCATAACTCCAACAGTGTGATGAACATGAATTTCAACAAAAAACTGTGGATTCCTCCTTTCACCACGTCGCCTTCTAACCCTGGCACGACCATCGTGCATTCATTTGCAATGGACTTGGTAGTGGAGAAACGGTCCCTTAAGGCCAATAATCTTAGGCGGCGATCTTCACGGTCTGTTGTTCTACGGCGGCGTCCAGTGCCCTTTGCTCTTTGCGTACGGCCTTCTCGAAGCCATGCCTGACAACACCTAACCACAGTGTCTACACTTCTTTGCACTCTAACTGCAATTGCCCGAAAAGAAAATCCAGCTTCCCGAAGTCCCACTATACGGCCCCTATCAAACTCACTAAGTTGACGAAATCGTACAGGTCTCCGTACTCTAGGCATCGTAACCGATCGTAAAGGATGTCAAGAACCAAAATCCGCCAACGTTGATTATTTACTGCGGCTGAAATATTCATTTTTAGAGCGTCAGTGAATTAAAAAAAAGCAGTATAAAAACCGGAATGTCCACTGATAAGGTTGAAAATTTTTTCACTTGTTATTTACAGTAAGATAAATACATTCACCAACTTTTATTAAAATAAAACCATTTAAACTGGGTGTTCGGATTTATATGTCACTTAGTATACATCGATGTCACATTTATGTAGATAATCTTTATATTGCTGAGTGTGGTTACTCCATAACTTAGTTAAGATATAAGGATTATGTAGGTCAAATACTATAATAATAGCATCTTTGTGTTATATATCATCTAGGTAAACAAATTCAATCAGAGCTCGTGGTGGGTATTGATGTTGCCGGATTGACGTAAGTTAATATCGACATTTTATACTAATAGTTTATTGTAATGTTACTTGCCCAAGGAATTTTCATAAAATACCTACATATTACTTATACCTCTAAAAAAAAGTATACCTCTACGATGTTGCTAATACAAATAACAATAAAACTAAAAACAACAAGATGCATTTTATTGAATTAGCGTCGTTCTCAAAGATTGTTGTGGATACGGCTCTGCACTTTGATTGTCATGTTTATTTAGTAAAGACTTGAAAAATCCGTTTCTTGTAAAAGCCTTTGATAGTTCATACATAGGGTGAAATTTGAACGTATTGCAGTAGAGGTAAGCCATTGGCTTGCTAATGATTTGTGTAGGTCTCAACTTCTAATGTTTTGTGTTCACTATTCGTCAAAGAACTTTCTAACCTAAAACTCGTCGTCCTCTTTCCGCATGATCATGTTTCGCAAAATAAACATTTTTGAGTTGTACGTAGTTTCAGGTGTGAAAAGGTGGTAAATAATATACCTGCTTCACTGTTCATCAAGGAATATTTAAAATACTCTACTTGAGCCACAATCAAATAAGTTATATGCAGCCTTAACTCCAAAGCTTGCTTGCTCGATGACTCTAGATGTTTACAGAATGTCTGTAATATTGTGTAACACCTCATACCCAACTAACAACTTTCAGGTGAACTTCATCAAATCTATAGGAGGCAAGGACTCGCAAGACTTTGAAAACAGCCCTACTCACCGATGAATTGGGAATTTGTTCTTTTGGCAGGGCATGAAAGCAACTTTGCCTTGAACACTTTAACTTCATGAAAGTCTTGCGGGGTGTTTTGGTGTTAACAGATCCTTTTTAAGTTTTATACAGGGTATTCCTTAATTATATGCGAATATTTAAGGGTGTGAATCTACATGAAAAATTAATATTATTTTGCTTTATAAACTATGGTCCAAAAATTTTTCCTTACAAAAACTCGGGGTGTTGAAGTTTTAGGAAAAAATGTAAATTAACTAATATTTTCAGAATCACTTCAGATATGTCACTGATATTAAGTACGTAGTGGAAGCTGATAAAGTTGCATATTTTTAAATGCAAAAACAATTTTTAGCTTTAACAGTGGCGTGCATAAGGGTATCGACTACGATATTTTTTAAGAAAAAAATGGTACGCCAATGGTTTTTTGCCAAATAATTATTTTTGAACTCCCCGTTTAAATCAAAACAAATGATCTCTCTTGAATTGATTTCCTTCGATGCGCCATTTTTGAGTAAAAAAATAAAAACCGTTCTATTGTCCGAAAAAATTAATGTAATAATTGAAGAATGCAATTTAGCAATAAATATCTAGTTGCTCTGGAATATGTCACTGGCGTTTGACATCTGAGTAGTGTCTGTTATTCAAATCTGTTCGCTGTGACATCTTTTTCAGTATTTAGTTTTTACAGTCTTGTTAATAGTGGCGAATTATTCAAATGCATAAATGGCGGAAATGCATTACGTATACGGCCTTGCCGACGGTAATGGTGAGCAAGCTAGACGGATTTATTACCAGAGATATCCCGCTTTGCCAGATAGTCGAACCTTTTCTAATATTCATCGTCGTCTTGTTGAAACTGGTTCTGTCCGAAAAGGCACATCTGAAGGTAGACCTCTATGTGTGAGAACACCTGAAAGTGAGGAAGCAGTGCTGCACGAAGTCGAAGAACATCCTGAAATGAGTACGAGGAAGATCGCTAGACACCTAAATATTTGCCATCAAATTGTTTGGAGAATTTTAGTGGATCTTTTGTTACATCCTTACCATATTTTAAGAGTACAGGCATTACTTCCCATTGATTTTCCAAGGCGTGTGACCTTTTGTCAGTGGTATCTTCAAAAAATTACACAAAATCCGCAATTTGAATTAATGATTCTGTTCCGGACAAAGCTATTTTTTCTCGAAATACCATTCAGAATTTCCGCAATAATCATTTGTGGGCAGAAGAAAATCCCTATGCCGTAACCGAAACCCATTTCCAACACCAATTTTGGGTTAACGTATGGGCAGGAATTATTGGCAACCACTTTTTTGGCCCATTCTTCTTGACGGGACGACTTGACGGACAGACTTACCTCAATTTTCTTCAACAACAGTTGCCTTTGCTGCTTGATGATGTTCCGTTAGTAATAAGAGAAGATGTGGTACGTGCAAGATGGTGCACCAGCGCATTTCAGTGTAGCGGTTCGTAATTATTTACAAACTGTTTATCCAAATCGTTGGATTGGCCGCGGTGGGCCCCAAGAATGGCCACCAAGGTCCCCAGACCTCAACAGTTTAGATTTCTTTTTGTGGGGCTATCTTAAGACACTAGTGTACCCAAGTCTCATTAACACTGCAGGGGAATTAAGAGAAAAAGGGTTGCTTGTGATAGAATAAAAAAGATTCCGGGGATATTTCAACGAGTGCGCAATTCCATGAGAAGGAGGGCGTAAGCAAGCATGCATACTAAATGAAGGGGGCCATTTTCAACAATTTTTGTAATCATTTCCTTGGTTTTAATGTTATGTTTATGTTGTCAGTTGTTGTTGTTCATTACCCCTAATGTGATTAATTTTTCCAATTAAATTAAT